GGCGTTGTCCTCGTGGGCGTCGGCGCCAGGTGCCTGTGGCGCAGCAGTCGTCCGCTTCCCTCGGGCTCGCAGCCTCCCGCAGCAGGCTCAGGCCTCAAGCGCTTCGCCGGCTTGTAGATGCCCCAGTCCATGGCGGCAAAAAGCCACCAAAACTTTTCATGCAACGATTTGGAAGGAGCGCATTATTTGCATTGAAATTGAATCATGAAGATGTACGGTAATGATGCAAGTCTTGGGGCGCTCAGGAACCGAAGTTGCAAAGATCCATGGACATCCCATACAAATTTATCATCCTCATGATGCAATTAAAATGCAAAGTTTTTTATCAAAAGGCCCACAAGGGCCTTCATTGTATCATCAGAACTAGAAGATGCGATTTAAAAAATCATGTCATCAATTATGCTTAAAAAAATCGTTGCACGGAAGGTATTGGGTGGCTTTTTGTTGGCGCTTCGGCCCGCCCCGCCGGTCACCCGGAAGTTTTCCTCCCTGCTTGGTCCGCTGTGCAATGTTCAAGGTAGCAGCCGCGAGGGGCGTAGGCAGGGGGAGCTCAATTACCTCTTGTGCGTCCTCTGGCCAGTAGTTGCTGGCTGCCGGCCAGCTGCAGCAAAGAACGATACGACAGATCTGTGGAGGAGACCGGCTCTGTGCGGCGGGAGATGCGGCTGAGAGGAGGGAGTAGGTGAAAGAGAAAGAGTGTTGGTGAGTGGGCGAGGGGACAGTAAGAGGAGAGGAAAGAAGAGATGATATTAGGGAGAACACGAGGGATAACGATAACTCAGATGCTTGCGGGCGAGTGCCCCCCTGACCCAAGCAAGTGAGCCACTCGCAGTGCCACTCAAAATCGTGAGACAAGGCCGGCACGGGGGGGAAGGAGCGGAGACGCGAGGAAGGAGGCGGAGGCAAGGAATAGGGAGCGAGAAGGAAAGAGAAGGAGAGGGGAGAGGAGAGAGGTGGGAGGGAAGAGAAAGGAGAGATGGGAAGGGATATGAGGAGGAACATGAAGGAGTAGGGAAGGGAAGCATGAGAGATGGGCGGAAGAGGGTAGCTAGGAAGGGAGAGAGGAAGGGGGAAGAGCAGACAGGTGGGAGGTTGAAGGAAGGAGAGATGGAGAGGGGGATGAGGAGATCAAGAAAGGAGTACGGAAGGGAATCATGAGAGATGTAAGGAAGAAAAGGGCGAGGAAGGGGGGAGGGACGGGATAATGCAGAGAGAGAGAGGGGGAGGGAAGGAGCAGGATCGCATGTGACAAGTTTCGTCCTCCCACATATATATATATATATATACAGCTTGTGTATATACATACATATATATATGCGTTGCCATCTAGGTTGTGGAATCAACGTGGTGCAATTTAGGTGGCACAATCCACTTGGTACAAACTAAGGTCTGGCGCAAAGCAACACAAACTAATGCAAATCAGTGCGAATGTCTGCAGCGCAATGCAAATCGAAGCGACACAAGGCAACGCAAAACATTCCAAATCATTGCAAAGCAATGCGAAGCAATGCAGATCAATGCAAGCCAGCGCCAACCCATGCAACGCAATGCAAAGCAATGTCAAGCAATGCGAAGCAACTTGTGATCCGGCTAGCGACGGAACCCCCAAGGCACGTGTAATTAACCCTTTCAGGAGGCGCTTGCAAGGCCGCTGGAAAGGATGTCTGGGGAGCTTGCAAGCTCGAGAAAGGAACTTCGAAGAAGACCCCAAGTAGCATCGAAGAAATTGCGGAAACCAAGGCCGCTGGAAAGGATATCAGGGGAGCTTTCAAGCTCTAGGAAGGAGCTTGGAAGAAGACCCCAAGGAGCTTCGAAGGATCTGCGGAAAGTCATCCGGCACGCGTCTCGGGAGCGAGCAGGAAGAGACGCCCGCGGGACACGCGGCGACGTCAAGCAGCCTGCGGCTGGGATGCCTGCCCGGCGACGGAAAGAGTTTCCTGGATACCCTTCGCTGCCGGCTTCTACCCTGAAGCTTTCGTATAGCCCTCCGAGAGCTGTCTGGGAATGAACAAGACAATGCAGCGCCAAGCAGGGCAATGCAGCAGAACGCAGTGCGAAACAGCGCAAAGCAAGGCAAAGCAACGCAGATCATTGCTGAGCACTGCGCACCAGAACAAAACAGTGCGAGCTTGCGCAAGGCAGTGCAAAGCAATGCAATGCAATGCAGGACAGCGCAAAGAATGCAAATCGATGCGAATCAATGCTAAACGACGGAAAGCACTGCAAAGTAATTCGAAGCAGCACAAACAACGCGACGACGAAACGGACGGACCGCCAGTGGGGCCCAGCGGCGACGGGCGGCGACGAGCCGGCCAGCCGTATTGTCATCGGGGCCCCGTTACTTCAGAGCACAATTCAGGCACCCTATGAGTGCAAGCTTTGCTTCAGGAGTTCCTGGCCCTCTACTCAAAGACGACCCCTGGGACCGCCACAGAGCCCCTAAGAGACCCCCCGAAATCTCCAGCAGGTCCCCAACACGTTCCCAAAAGAGGCCCCCTGGAGGTCCCCAGGAGGCCCGAAAGAGGCCCCCAAGAGGCCCCAAGAGACTCCCGAGACACTTCCTTGGAGGCACCCAAACAGGCCCCACAGATCCCTCCAAGGTGCCCCCCGAAGGGCATCCCAAGAGACCCTCACATGCATCCAAGAGGCTTCTGACCCCAATTCAAGCACGTTGCCACGATGGGCCAAGCCGTTGCTTCCACCAAGGAGAGCTTCACACGACAAGTTGGGGAAATTATCACAAGCCAGCAGCTTCCAAATACCCGCGATGACACGGAACAATTGATAACGATAACGCAAGATGGGCCAGCGGAGCGAGCGAAGTGCTACACCATCGGAGATTTTGGGAGGTCATGGCGGGGCCGGACCGACCCAGAGCAAGCCGACCCTTCCCGTGACAATCCCCCCGCGGCTATTTCCAAGACGTGGGCAAGCGGCTGGAGGAGAGCCTCGAGGGCGAGTGGGGGGTCGCCTCGGGGGTCGGTGAGGCTGCGCCCGAGGAGCAGTGGGAGGGGGCGGAGCAGAGGATCTGCCAATTTTTGGCCGGCGGCGGGTCTCCTGTTTTTGAAGGATGCCCTTCTGCTCCAGGTCCGGGCGTAAGTCGGGTGGCCGCTGCACGATTGGCGCGCGCGCGGGGGCGAAAGTCCCGAGCGCGCAGGTGACGCAGGTGCGCCGCCATCGGCGCGGGCCTCGCTCCGCGCAGGTTCGGCTTCCTTTGAGGGCGGAAGCCGCTGCGAGGTGCGCACGGGGGCCGCCGAGTCCGAAAGGTTCGGTGTGCTCCACGTGAGTTTGCGGCGGCGGCTGCTGCGGGACCCGAACCCAGACATGATCGCGTCGTAAAAAAAAAGGACAGGAGGTTTTTGTCAGTTTTCGGCCCCAGGGGGCCCTCGCCGGGCATCGGGGCCGTCAAACAACGACTCGGGACGAAAAACCGGTCCCGGGGAAAGGGTCGGGATTTCCAGGGGCGCCGTCTTGAAAAAATCAGGACGTCGCATGTCTGGGAAGTTGTCCCTGAGGGCTCGGGCGCTTCTAGACGCGTGTGCGCGATTGCTGTTCCACGACTTTCTCCGCCCCGTCGCCGCGCGCAGGGCGCCGCGACGCCAGATTGTGTGTTCCACGCGCGGAACAGCTTGGCCTCAGAGGAAAAGGTACCGATACCTCTACTATTCCCTCGTTATCCCCCTCCCGGGCCTCCTGGGAGGGCTCGTCGCCACCTCTGGATTCGCCTCGAAACTCTGGTCAGAAGGCACCCAGGAGAGGTCGGGGGATTACCAGGGAGCTGGATACACATGGTGTGGCCAGCCCGGGCAAGTGCTGGATGCACATGTGTGCGGACGTCTTTCCAGCGCTCGGCCCGTCTACGGAAGCGTAGGCTGGGCTACCTCATGCGTGTCCAGCGCACAGCCTCCACATGCTCCACACGTGAATCCAGCCGCGTGTGTGCTTCAGCTTCCTAGGTGGCGGCGCCGGTACATCTTGGCTTCCCAAGGCCAGCCCCGAGGGGCAGCTGCCAGCGCGCTGGCACGCGCGGAGCCGCCCCACGGCAGGCCTCAGGGCTGCCGCAGGCGTGCTGCTCGCACCTGCCACCCTCCAGGGCTCACCAGGGCCCTGCCGTGGGCGTGCGAGTCGAATGCGGCGCGCAGCAGCCTCGAGTCCACACCGGAGGACCAGGGAACGTACGCACGCTTGAAGCGTGCGGACATTCCGCGCGGCGCAGCCCCTGGCACGGCCGACGTCCCAGGGACTTCCCGGGCGGTGCAGCGGGGAGAGCGAGGGACCCCCCTCTCCCTCCGGGCGGTTTCGGCGGAGGGCGCTGGGTGCCCTGTCTTTGTTTCACCGGTATGTCTGTGTCTGTGTGTGGTTATTGTTTTTTCTTGTTGCTGTCGTTATGAGTGATGGTGATGATGATGGTGATGATGATGACCATGTTGCTGCTGATGATGATGATGGTGATGGTGATGGTGATGGTGATGATGATGGTGATGATCATCATGATCATGATCACGATCATGATCATGATGATGATGCTGATGATGATGATGATGCTGATGATGATGATGATGGTGGTGTTGCTGTTGTTGCTGATGATGTTGTTGGTGGTATTGTTGGTGTCGCTGCTGTTGTCGTCGTCGTTGATGTTGTTGGTGTTGTTGTGTTTGATGCTGTTGTTGTCGTCGTTGTCGTTGTTATTGTTGCTGGTGGTGATGTTGTTGTTGCTGCCGTTGTTGGCGTTGCTGGTGTCGTTGTTGGTGCTGGTGGTGGTGTTACTGTTGCTGTTGTTGCTGCTGCTGTTGCTGCTGCTGTTGCTGGTGGTGGTGGTGTCGTTGCGTGTGTGTGTGTGTGTGTGTGTGTGTCCGTGTGCGCGGGACACCTTTCAGACGCCTTCTTGGGCCGCTCGAGTGCGCTGCGGGCGGTAGTCTGTTCTGTGGCACGCGCAAGACGAAGGAGGCGCAGCCCGCCTCCTTGCGTCGCGGGCGAGATTGACCTCGTCCGCCACCGTAGCCATTTTGGCTCAAGTGAGCCCGCGCTTCGGGAGGCCCTCGCAGCGCGCCGCGCGGGCGCGTGGCGCGCCAGAGGCCGATGTCCGCCAGTGCTGGTGGCGGCAAGCCGTGGGCGGCGGCTTCCGCCCGGTCGCTGGCCCGGCGCCTGCGGCGAGAGCGGCAGGCAGAGCGGGGCTGGTTTCGTGCGGCCGCGCTGTCACGCTGCACGAAGGCGCTCAGGGCCTCGCTCGACGTCCACTGGCGCCTTTGTGACGCCGTCGGCTGCTACCTCCCCACGCTCGGCGAGGAGGTGGCGACCGCGCGGCTGCTCGGTTGCGACCCTGCCCTCCTCGCCGAGGCGGACGCGGCGCTGGTGGAGGGCAACTCCGCACGCCACGCGCCGCCGCCTGGCGCGGCGAGAGGGCTTCCTAAGATGCCTGACGGGCTGGTGGCTCGGGCGCTCGAGCGCCTGCTGGAGGGTGCTGCGCCGCCCCTCCGCTGCAACGCCGAGCCGTTCGTCCCAGCCAGTGTCAGGCTGGCCTCCGCGTTGCTGTGCGAGCTCGGCGTGGAGCAGGTCGCGTGCAATCCCAGCGTCGTCCCGCCTGTGCAGGGCCACTCCCACGTCGTGGTGGACGTGGAGCCCCTTCGCGATGCGGCTGGTGCGGACGACGCCTCTGTGTCAGAGGACTCGCAGTTGGTGGTCAACCTCGGCAGGTCGGCTGAGGATGTGGTGGGCCCACTCGTCGCGTGCAGTGCCAAGCCGCTGGAGGAGGTTCGCGAAGATCCCGACGTGCTCTCCGACGGTGAGCCTGCTGACGACCCTGGCGGAGGTCCTCATGATAGTGATTGCGTTGCCCTCGGATCCGAGGGCGAGCCTGCTGATGAGCGTGGCGGACATGGTGTTGAAGATGGTGTGGCCCTCGGACACGGTTGTGGTGATGCTGATGGTGCTGTCATTCCGCTCGTGCTCTTGCAGTTCTTGGTTCAGCAGCAGGACGCTGGCGCCGTGGTCCACGAGGGCGACCTCATCGTGTGGCAACTCGAGCAGATCGAGGACAGCATCCAGTCCGAGGCCCACCTCATGAAGTGTGAGACGGAGGTACAGGAGGCCATCGACAAGATGATCGACCAGGGCCTCGTCTCCGTCATGAGGCCGTCGCTCGGCCAGTCGCGCGCGAGCCGCCTGCTCGCTGCTAGCCGTCCTGCGGTCGTGCGTTCGTGGCCGAGCTCAGGGCATGTTGAGCGGAAGATCGGGACAAATCGGAACCAGAGATTCTGGGAGAGTTCCAGAGAAAAATAGAACGCCGATTTGTGGAGCGTAGCGCGCGCATTCGCAGAAGTTCCCAGAGAGTGTTCGCGGGCTTGAGGAGCCCAAGTAACACATGGGCGCTCAATTAAACTGTTGAGGGCGGGCAGAAAATCTGGTGTGCACGAGCATTGTGAGCGGGTGCGCGGCTTGCACGGGGGGCACAGTAGGTTTGCGTTTCAGGGACATGGGCGCTGGCCAATGCGCTGATGGGGGGCCCGAGAATGCGTCACACATATTACGCCTGTGGCGCCATGGAGGCCGCATCTGCGGCTGCAGTTGGGCGGGCGCCCCGCCGCGCGCACCGTGGCGACAGCTCTCTTGGGCGCCCGCCCGCCGCCGTGGACGTAGCGGACCCAGCTAGTCTCTCGGTCGGCGCGCGGCGGGTCGGCAGCCACGACGCTGGCGGCCTGAAAATGCTTCGAAAGTGTTTCTCCCCGAGCCCGGGGCTATTGTACGTTTTCGGTGGCACGCGCAGCTCGGAGAAAAATCGCCTTGTCCGTCGGCGGCCAGTTGGCTGTCGTCGCGCAGAAGTACCGGCGGATGGCGCGGTCCACGCTCAGCGCAGAGAGCGTGTCCATGAGCGTGGACTCGTCGAGGGGCAGGAGGAAGGACCTCGCGGTCGGGACCATCGCGGCCCGCGATGTCCACGGCCCCCACCCTGGGCGCGCGAGGACCTGCTGGGCGCCGCCGCAGCGCGATTTCAGAGGATCTCGGAACCAGAAATCCGGGCGCGCCAAATTTCGCTGGCCGAAGAACTTTCAGAGAGTTTCGGCCAGCTCCGAGGTTTTGGGTTTATGGGAATGTTTCACGCGGGGTGGCTAGTTCAGAGATTTTCAAAGATTCTCAGAGAAGTTCGGGCGCGAGAATTTGGCGCGCCCCGGTTCCTGGTTCTGTGAATCTCTGAAAAGCGGTTCCTCAGGGTTCACCGGGCCCCCAGGCGTCCTACTGTCAGCCAGAGACGAGCGACTGGCTGGCGCCGCGCCCGATGCTTCCGGAGTTGCGAACTCGGTCTTCAATTCCCTGGGGCCCGCGGGCCCCTGGCCCAATTGCGAGGCTGCCGAGGCCCCCAGGCGGTTGCGCGCGATTGTCTCGGAAACCGGAGTTGGGCATCCATAGTGGACGCCCGCGCGCACGCGCTAGGTGTCCGCGAGATTGTTCGGTGGCGGATCTTGCATGGCGCCGGGATTTTCCAAAGACTTTCCGGGGTGTTCTCTACGGTTATTTCGGCGCGCTTCGGGAACCTTGGGGCGGCGCGGGGAAGTCGCCTGGCCACGCGCGTGACTTTTTTCCAATGCCGTCTTGGGCATTATCGCGGTGTTGCTTGGCCGAAGAGGTCACTGAGTAACGCGATTTTTGACATTTTAGTGTTTTTCGTTGCGTTGGTTGCGTGATTGTTTTGGCGGTCCGCCTCCTTGGCGCCCCCTTTGGCCCTCAAGTTTGTTTTGTTGACGTCGGGCCTTCTGGAGTGAAAGGCGCTTGGCGCTGAATTCCCTCGGTCGCGCGCGTGGCCAAAGACGCGCCGTGGCTTCATCCGCGCCGGGGCGCTTTTCTTCCCTCGCGAAGCCGATGGCGCCCAAGGCGTGGCAGGCCCGTTCGGCGGCGCCCCCGGTGATTTGAAAAACCGAGCATGATTTTTATCCCGGTCAAATTTTGCCCCGATCCCGGCTTCATCTTCTGGGGGTGGCGTAAGTGGCGGATCCTCGTGTGGTCCCAAGCGCCACCCCCCAGGAGCCCCAAAAAGCGGCGCCGAGGGTGGCGGAAGTGGCGGATCCTCGTGAGGTCCGAGCGCCACCCCGTCGGCGCCGCCCGTCTTAGTTTTTGGTGCCGTGCACTTTCCCTTCGGGTCTTTCCATTCCATACCTCGTCCGCCACGTCGGTCGTCTGACGCTCCGCTGAGCGTTCCGTCCAATGGATCCCTGCACCTGGCGCTACTCAAGTGCGGCGCTGTTTTTGGAGAGGGAGAGGGAGAGAAAGAGAGAGAGAGAGAGAAACATAAAGTGTTGAAATGACTCTTCGGGCGCTCTAGCGCCCCCTGTGGCATCTTGGGGGGCGTCATGGGGCATCTCGGGCCCCCCGCTGCTCCGTCCTTGCGGCCCATTCGGCCGTGGGCCATCGGCCATCTGGAGGCCCTCTTGGGATCCTCTTGCGTCGTCTCGGCAAGGTCTGAGGCCGCTCTGGGGCTGTCGTTGAACACTGTTGAGCTAGTGAGCCGGCAAGCAAGCGTAGGGGCACACATGGGGCGGTGTGGTCCGCTGGTGCCCTGACTCAGGACCCTTAACGGGAGGACGATGGCTAGGAGGAGGCGGAGGAGGAGGACGAGAAGGAGGAGGAGAAGGGGTAGGCGGAGGCGGAGGCGGAAGCGGGGCGGAGGAGGAGGAGGAGTAGGTGGAGACGGAGGGGGAGGAGGAGGAGGTGGAGGAGAAGGAGGAAAAGGAGGATGAAGAGGAGGAGGAGGAGGAGGAGGAGGAGGAGGAGGAGGAGGAGCAGCATATTGGGCCCTTCTTAGGCCGTGTTGGAACCCATCCCGGGCATCTTGGATGCCTTGGGGCACCCAGTGAGCCTCGGGAGGGTGAGAGATGCATGCAAGACGGACGCTACGAGAAGGTGGAGGCGTGGAACACCTGCAAACTTCCGTCCACGCTGTGCATGCCAGCGAGGGACACGACGCACTACACACAAAGCAGTTCTGACTTCCATGACTACATTCGAAATAATACCATTGAAGAAAAACAGCCAGAGTCTTTGCTGTTGTACCAGGACATGATTTGATGTTGCGCCTCTTGGACGACGACGGCGACGGAGGTGAGGACACCAAGCTAGTACGTTCGAAGGTCTATGAGGTCTATTAGGTCTGCTAGGCCTATTGGGGCTGTAAAGCTATGGGCCTATAGGGCTGTAGAGCTATTGGGCTATCGGGGTATTGGGCTATAGGGCTATAGGTATACAGGGCTATGGGGCTATAGGGCTATTGGGGTATATAGCTATAGGGCTATGGGGTTGTGAGGCTATGGGGCTATGGCGCTATAGGGCGCCATATGGCTATAGATCTGTGGGGCTATACGGCCATGGAGCTATAGGGCTGCAGAGCTATAGGGCTATAGGGCTGTAGGGCCATGGGGCTATAGGGTTATAGGACTATGGGGGCTGTAGGGCTACAGGGCTATAGGGCTGTAGGGCTACAGGGCTATGAGGCTATAGGGCTGTAGGGCTATAGGGCTATAGGGCTACAGGGCTACAGGGCTATTGGGCGCCTGGGCACCCGGGCGTGCCGCCGAAATCGGCGACGCAGCTAACCTAACCAATGAATCCGCTAGGAACCCGACAGAGCTATAGGGCTATGGGGGTATATAGCTATAGGGCTATGGGGTTGTGGGACTATCGGGCTATGGCGCTATAGGGCGCCATATGGCTATAGGTCTATGGGGCTATAGGTCTATGGAGCTATAGGGCTATCGAGCTATAGGGCTGTAGGGCCATAGGGGCTATAGGGCTATAGGGCTATAAGGCTATGGGGCTATAGGGCTATAGGGCTATGGGACTATAGGGCTGTAGGGCTATAGGGCTATTGGGCTATAGGGCTACAGGGCTACTGGGCGCCGGGTCACCCAGGCGTGCCGCCGAAATCGGCGACGCAGCTAACCTAACCAATGAATCCGCTAGGAACCCGACAGAGGCAAGCTCTGATTGGGGAACTATGGGAGCTGGATGGGAAGAGGAATATTCAGGGAATAGTCTTAAAACTGAACCCAGGATGGGTGTCGATTTGTTTGTGCTCCCCTGGAGCCCTTTCTCTTGGCATTGTACCACTCCTGTGCTTGCCAAAAGGACCCAGCGGCATGGCGACGTTGGAGGTCTGTGGAGAAGGAAAAGAGCCGCTCGCCAGCCCGTGGTCTCGACCATCGTCCTCCTGAACCTCGTTGTGATGCTGGGAATCGCATCCACCTGGCTGGCGCCACCCCGACGATCGGTACGATCGAAGTTAGAACGGAAATAGCGGGGACAACGATTGTGTGCAGTCCTTGCCCATTTTCAACAGGGATTCACCGTCGGTGTCTCCGCGGACGCTGGCCACGTGAGACAAACAGTCGCATGTCCAACGACGTCCGCTGTGGATTGTTGAGAGAAGTAGCCGGGTGTGACAGGACGAGAAGCAGGAGGAACATGATCAGGGGAGTAAGTCCAGCGCGGGTCGTTGATGTCGCAAGACGTTCCCGTCCCACCCTTCCCAGAAGCCAATGCAGGTATACATCCAGTGGCCTAGGGCCTAAACCCATCCCGCCACTGTGCCTGGATTGTGTGTCAGAGGCCTCTTGGACGCCTGCTGGAGTCTTTTGGGCTGCCTCCGAGGAGACTCTTGGATTATGCCTCTCAAGTGGGCTATTTGGGGGGGTCTCCTACTTCCCCTCCTTTCTAACTGTGTGAAGGGCCTTGTGGGTCCTGGCGGAGGTCCTGGTGAATTCGATCGGTCCGATCCAGTATTGGATTCCAGCCAGCCCAGTGTGATTCGGTTCCGATGTCCTGGCAATCCGATGCGGCCCACTGCCGGCAGGGCGTTGGTTCATGTCTTGGTCTGGCCGATCCGATTCCGAGTTTGACTCCGTGCCGATGTAATTTCAATCCGAAGCACCATCCGATCCGATCTGATTTCCCGATTCGATGATGACTGATCTTGCCGTGAAGTCGAAGAAGAATACACCACATAAACAACATGTATCTTTGGAGGTCCCCACGGATTTCTCGGGTCGGCGCGGGACCCCCTTCGGCGGCGGCTCTGGCAAGGCCTCAGCGCGCTCCGCGCGCCACGGAGAGGGTCCAGCGCCAACCCAAGAAATCCGTCCCTTCCTTACCTCTTCTTCCCCTTCTCACCCTTCAGCCCCACAGAACGGTTGCGCTGCAGGTGCAAGCTTGGGCCCGACTGTCTGCATGCTGGTTTCAAGGCGTGTCTAGGTCATACCACTGGCTGCCCGCGGCACGGCTTTTTGTGGAGGACGAGGCTGAACAATCACCTGGCCTGCGGGGGGAGGAGGGAGGGA